AACAGTGCAAGTGGGTACACAATAAAATAAGAGGAAAACCACCAGATTTACAAATGAGGAACTCCCTGGCGGATAGAGATGGTCGAACAGAGAACACTGCGAATGAACAAATAAACGAGAGCAATTTGGAGAGCCCTGTGGTAAGCCTCGGAAATGAGGCTGCCATAGCCTAACCTCTTCCGCGCTTCGGCGGGTTCCTCTCTCCATTACGCTTTAATGGTCAAAATTTTTACATGGAATTGTAGAGGGGCAGGAAGCAAGCGCTTCCTCAGAGTTTATAAAGAATACAAACGACGGTATTCTCCGAGTATTGTTTTTATAGTGGAACCAAGGATCAGTGGTGATAGAGCGACTAAAGTTGTTGAGAAGTTGGGGTATGACAAGTACCTCATGGTAGACGTGGTGGGCTTTGCAGGGGGTATCTGGCTAGCCTGGAATTCTGGCACGGTCACTATTACGGAATCCGATAGATCCTCTCAATTCCTCCATGTTTAAGTCCATCTTGGTCTGCAGAGTTGGTTTCTTACAGCAGTTTATGCCAATCCGTCACTCATTCAGCGTCGGGAGCTTTGGCACTCAATCCGATCTATAGAGGAGGATATGGTGGAGCCGTGGCTCCTTGCAGGTGATTTTAATTCTATTCTACAGCTAAGTGATAGATTTGGAGGAGCGCCCTTTGATGCTAGTCGCGCTAGTGAGTTCCAGGACTGCGTGCTTGATGCAGGGTTGGTGGACCTAGGATTCACGGGGCCCCCTTTTACTTGGTTTCGGGCAGGGGTGAAAGAGCGTCTTGATAGAGGGCTCTCCAACGCAGTCTGGGCATCGAGGTTCCCGGATACCATAGTTTGCCACCTACCTCGTGTAAGAAGTGACCATCGTCCGCTCTTGCTGAAACTATGTCCGAATTACCAGGCTGCAGGACCGAAACCTTTCAGATTCCTAGCTGCCTGGCTGACGCATGATGATTTTAAGGATATGGTAGCTCGCTCCTGGGAACGGGGGAATGATTTATTGTCATCTATTATGGAGTTCACCAAGGAAGCTAGGGAGTGGAACGCTAACGTGTTCGGCCATATTTTGAAAAAGAAAAGCTTGTTGCTGGCTAGGATCGAGCGAATTGAGCAGAGAGTTGGAGGGGATTCCGACGATACGGGGCTGAAACATGCCCGAGAGGAGCTTGAAGACATCCTGTTGCAGGAAAAGTTACTTTGGTGTCATAAATCTTGTTTGGATTGAATTGCTTTAGGGGATCGAAACACAAAGTATTTCCATGCGAGAATAGTGGCTAGACGGCGACGGGACAGAATCACTTCTCTTATGAAAAGTCTGGGAGTTTGGGTGGAGGATCAGGCTATTCTACTTGAGATGGCTGGGCAATTTTTTGAAGCATTATACACTGATGACGGTGAGACGGTCCACCCTCTGCTGGCATCTTTCCCGCCTCTCTCGCCAGAGTGCTGGCTGCCTCTTGACAGCGGTATCACCATGGAAGAGCTCTCCTGGGAAGTAAAGGTGATGGGAGCGCTCAAGTCCCCGGGTCCGGATGGACCGAATCCCCTCTTCTTCCAGCAAAACTGGAGTGTGGTTGGGTCGACAGTATTGAAATTTGTGGAAGCCTGTAGGACTGATCCTACCAAGATTGGTGAGGTGAATGCGACGGTTGTAGCACTTATCCCCAAAGTGGAGTGCCCAGTAACTATTGAGCAGTTTCGTCCCATTAGCCTCTGCAACGTGACTTACAAGATGATCACCAAGTGCCTGGCAGAGCTGCTAAAGCCATTAATGCCCAGACTGGTGCACGAGACTCAGACCAGCTTTGTTCCTGGCCGCCACATTACTGACTACATTTGTGTTTTGCAGGAATTAGTTCATTCCATGCGTGCCAAGAAAGGAAAGAAGGGTTGGATGGTTCTTAAAATTGAGCTGGCCAAAGAATATGACCACATAAAGTGGAGCTTTGTTCGAGAGACTCTAGAGGCAGTGGGACTGTGGGAGCGCCTCCAAGCTTTACGGAAGTTGCTATGAAGTGTATATCATCTGCGACCATGCAAATTCAGTGGAATGGTGGCCTCACTGCAGCTTTCTCACCTTCGAGAGGACTAAGACAGGGTTGTCCGCTATCCCCGTACATTTTCACCCTTTGTATGGAGCGACTGGGACATCTAATCACGGCGGCAGTAGAGCGGGGAGAGTGGAAGACGATTCAGCTTTCACACGAGGGACCACGTCTCTCACATTTATTTTTTGCTGACGATTTGATCTTATTTGGTGAGGCATCACTGTCGCAGGTGCAGGCTATCATGGCTTGTCTTGAGGAATTTGGAGCAGCCTCAGGTCAGCAAGTGAATCGGGTGAAGTTGAGGGTCTACTTTTCGAAGAACGTCACTAGTACGGAGACCAGCACTTTAAGTGATGCCCTAGGTATACCAGTTACGTCTAACCTGGGAAGATACTTGGGAGTACCAGACATTCACGGCCGCGTCTCCAAGCAACATACACAGAACTAATTGATCGAATCAACACTAGATTGGCGGGCAGGAAAGTCAGATCGCTCTCCCTGGCGGGTCGCATTACTTTGGCATAGTCGGTACTTTCCTCCCTCCCAGCCTACACTATGCAGACGTCCTGGCTCCCAACAGCGGTTCGTGACTACATCGATAGAAAGATTCGAGGATTTATATGGGGCAGTTCGGACCAGGGAAGGAAAATTCATCTCCTCGACTGGGACACTCTGTGCACACCAAAGGAGGAAGGAGGTCTGGGGTTGCGAAGCGCCACTCGTATGAATGAAGCTTTCATGATAAAGATTGCTTGGCGTTTACTAACGGAGCAAAATAGCCTTTGGGCTCAAGTGATTAGAGGGAAGTACTTGAGGAAGACTGAGAAAGGTTGGAGGGCTAGGGAAGAGGGCCGCCTATCCAACTTGTGGAGAGGGGTAATCCGGGTCCTACATCTCATTCCGGAGGGAACAATGTGGAATATCAATAGTGGTTTGTAGGTACGCTTCTAGACGGACAGATGGCTCACTGATGGCCAACCCTTGGCCTCCGCTGCACACGGCCTCCCAGATGCGGCTAGGGACTTGACTGTCGCCGAGATGGTGCTCAATGATGACTGGAACCTACCCTTTATTCGAGCTTTTATCCCCGAAGAAGTAGTGCCCAGCTGTGTTTGCATCCTGTGCCCGTGGGAAATAACCCTGATACACCTTTTTGGCGCTACTCAGACTCGGGGAAGTTCACTTTGAAAACGGCTTATGAGCTAACGAGAGCGGGTGTAAATACTGATCAGCCGCACCCTATTTGGAAGAAGGCTTGTAGGTTTCTGGGACCTCAGCGAACGAAGAATTTTCTGTGGTTAGCGCTGCATGGGCGGCTTCTCACAAATGCAGAGAGAGCTCGATGCCATCTATCTCAGTCAAGCCACTGCCAAGTCTGTGGCGGGGGACCTGAATCGGTGATCCATGTCTTACGAGATTGTCCCTATGCAAGAGGAGTATGGTCTTATGTGTTGCAGGATGAGCCGGACTCGGATTTTTTCGAACAGGATAGCAGACGCTGGTTCATACATTACCTCAGTGGGAGAGGGAAAGTGTAGGACGCATCTTTATTCGGTATCCTCTGTTGGAAGTTGTGGCAGAATAGAAACGAGTGGGTTTTTATGAGGTAATTTCCCCAATGGAGGGACTGGCGGCGAGGGCAAAGTATACAAGGGAGCAGACGGATAGAGCTTTCACCAAAGCTCAAGAGGTCATGGAAGGGTCGAGATGATGGATGATTCAGATGATCAGTTGGCAGCGCCCTCCGCCGGGCTGGATCGCAGTCAACACGGATAGTTCGGCGATCTCAGCTCTGGGTATTGCAACGGCCGACGGAGTTATCCGAGACAACGATGGAAGGTTTATTAAGGCTTTTTCTGTCAATTTGGGAGGAGGATCGATCACTCACGCTGAGCTTGCAGGGATTGCCCAAGGATTACGCAGTGCGTGGGAGACAGGAGCATGCAAAGTTAAGCTGCAGACCGACTCGGCCACAACGATATCTCTTTTGCAGACAGACCAAGTAAATTATCCCCACTACACTATGACGGCTGCTATTCGCAGACTACTTGCGAGGGACTGGGAGGTCAGTATTGATCATGTTTTTCGGGAGGGTAATTATGTTGCTGATTATATGGCTTCTGTTAGCCATGATTTACCGGTTGGAGTTCACTTGTTTGACGCTCCGGGCCCTCAGTTGAGTTATTGGTTGATGTATGACCTTGTTGGGATTCAGATGCCCCGTTCGATTAATATATAAGGGTTAGAGCGCCCCTCTGCGCTCTGTTTCTCACAAAAAAAAAAAAAAATCATAACTGAAAAGTATGAGATTGAAAAAGGTGTTTTCAATATCTATCGTTAAAGCGATCTTTGAGCTTGGGTTGGTTATAGAGCCTGCATAATCTTAGGGTTATGCATATGAAACTAATTCAATGTTATCATTTTTCACACACCCAGGAAAAAGAAAGAAATTATGTCAATAGATAAAAAGGAAAAAGAAAGGAATTGGTATATCATTAGTGAAAAATTAAAAATATTACTTTGAATAAGTATTCATGGAGGTTTCTGAAAATTTTATCCATATAAAAATTAAATTAATTATTCTCTATAAAATGACATCAATTTTGATATATTTTGGAACGAAATACATGCTTATAGAGGTGGTATGAAAAATATATTATACTGATACAAAATATACATACCAAGCTATATAATATACATTATTACAAAAAAAAATTACTCGAAATGTATAAAAAATAACTTCAATGGATTGGTCGAATGGTAATGTCGGGATGAAAACATCCACCACAACCTGAGTTCGAACTTTGAGATCAACAATCAACGGGGAAAAAAAAAAGAAATGTATCAAAAATATATTATTTTGTAGATAAACTAATTAATTTTTTGAAATCCAAGATAAAACAAATAATACACAACATCCAATTAAAAATTATTATATTAAAATGACAATTTAGATCTCAATCATTTGTTCAATGAATGAGCTCAAGATTGCTTATAAAGTTTGCATAATTTTGACATTATACAGCCGAATTGGTGAGTGACTGGATAAAACCAAGCACTGGAATGAAAGATCTACTTCTGCATTAGTTGCATGTTTGGTTGCCATTCTAACCTAATTTCAAGTATAATTGGATATAGAAACAGAAGCGTGATTTAGGGTTGTGGTACCCCCTATATACAGAATCACGATACCAGAAGGTACTGGTCTGCTGCAAAATTCTACTGTCTACCATATCCTTTGGGCCTTCTACACATGGGATGGTTTCCTAGGATTCGGATTTCGGAGCTCGGTTCTCCAAAGACTGCAATCTTTGCTTGAGATGAAACACCTCAACCTGATCATTAGAAATCCCTCATGTCCTGAGTATCTTGGTACACAAGGATTGATGAAATATTAGGTTTGAGTAAAACAGAAATCACCTGAAGCTGAAACGCTCTTGCCTTTTCTGCGGCTAGCACTCCCCTAGTCGAATGCAGCTCCTGAAAACCAAACAAAGTTCTCTAAACCCAGCAATGAATGATCGATCGATTACACAGTTTGGCCAGGCAGCAGCACATTTTACCTTCTGGGTATCCTCGAAAATGGCCTTGATGAAAGCCACATCATGCTCGAGCCTCAAGTTGTCCGAATGGATGATGTTCGACATGCTGTTGGCCTCTTCATGGGCCATCTCCAAACCAGCCATCTTCTCCTTCAGCAACTCCACTTCCCTTGAAGCATCCACCAACTTCTGCTCTACATCTTGCTTGCTCTTCACGACAGCAGAGAAACTTTTCTCAGCCACCTCTCGGCAATCCAATGCTGCCGCGAGTTGTCCTTCTAGCACCCCATTCTTCTTTATCAGAGCTGATATTTTGGATTCATATAGTTGATAGACACTAGAGTGTGGCCCTCGGGAGGGGAAATCTGCAGTCTCTGGAATTACCACTCCCTCGTTGTCAACTATAAGGTCTGATGAACTACCATAGACACAAGATTTATCCTCACTGATGATTTTGCCCAACTGGTTATAATAAGGTTGAATGGGTGTGTTGGATTGATTCATTTGCTGCTCATTCCCCTGAAAAATCGAAATTTCTCTCCATTCTAAATCATGGTATGAAAACAATGACATAAGGTGCTAGTGTAGGCTTAGAGCCTGTGAGGTTTCCAATTAACCATTTCACTTAACAGTTCTGTCAAAGTTTCACTATTCAACTCTTTTAACAGGCTTCCCAGTTAACTTGACCGAACAGGTAAGCTACTGAAGGGAGTAGAACAAAACAGATTACTTACTGGAGACGACACATTTCCTTCCTCTGATCTCTTAACCATCTCGAAAACTCTGTTGTGTTCTTCCTCATGAAATTTCTTTGTGTGGGAGACATTTCCAGAGGCACAACCTGAATCCATGATCGAGGACTCTGACACAGAATTTCTACCAGAACCATGCTCGGCTGCAGATGCCAAGTTCTGTCTAGCAACGGAATCAACTGAACGCTGAGAGACCCCAAGAGGACCCTTACCAGACCTCCGAGACATCGACGATTCATGCTTGTCTAATTCCATTACTTCAACCTGTAAAACAGCAAATTAATCCAGAGGACATCATTGTTATAGACTCTTGAGATGAACACTACGGCATTACTGAGTGACAACCGGAAATAGTCAGTTCAGTCTTTTGACCTGATTTGAAGGCTCCTTTCTGGATCCTCCAAATGCAACTAGGAAATCCTTCTCTTTATGTTGCATAAGCACTAGGCTGAATCCCTGTGGGGAGAGAAAAGAGGAAGTTTAACGATCACAGCATAATTGTGTTCACTGTCCTATGTTAAGATTTCGTCCAAAATGTGCTGCCAGTAGAGTCGAATTAGCATATAAGAAGAAGATGGTGATGCAAAGGCTTCGAATTAGCATATAAGATATTGTAAGTTAACGAAAACTTGACTTCTTGCCTTCTTGGTTGTGATAGAAGAAGATGGCGATGCAAAGGCAACAGACCACTCTACTTTCGAAACATCAAAAATCAAGGTCTCTGAGTGTCCTGCAGGTACAGAGAACATACATTACATTATGACTCCTTGATTGCCAGAAGCTACTGATTGTAGCTCAAAAAACTTGTGGCTCTAGATTTAGAATGCTTACTTTTTTTCCCGTTCCCTCCACCGGCTATGTACCACTTGGTTCCACATAGAACTCCACAGCAACCAGCTCTAGGCGATGGATGGAAACCCCTAATATTTATCATCGACCACACCATCTGAACACCAAAAACAAGAAAAAGGGAAGATCACATATCAAATACGGTAAGTCAGGAAACCATACTTCTAAACTGTAAAATTGAGTGCATTTGGCTCTCACCGATCCGAAGTCGAGAGAATACAAATCGTTCAAGGTCCGCGACTTTGATGCCCCTCCGAAGATGAGAAGGGTCTTACGATCGCAAAGAGCAGCTACATGGTTCGATCTAGCGGAAGGTCTAGCTCCGCTGCAAGCAAAGCATTAAAAGCAATTTTTCCAAACTTGAAAACCATCCATAAGGCAGAAAGAAAATAAGTCCAACATGAAAGAAACAAAAACTTACGTGGAGCAAAAGGGAACCCATAGAAGAGACTTGAGATCAAACATGTGTAGATCATTCAGTTTTCTTTTCTTGGCATCTTCACCACCGAATAGGATTAGTATGGAGCCCGACCTGACCACAGTGTGACCACTGCGAGCAATCTGTAACAGGAATTCAAACCGCTTATTTCACTTGTCTCAGAACTCAAAAGCAACTCAAAGATGGGTTGAGTCATAGTAGAACCCCAAGTGAAAACCATACCGGTATGTCGCCTCTGGCTTCCATTACTGACCAACATTCTCTTTCTGTATCAAATGCCCACACTGGAACAACCCAGACCAACGGAATCAACCAACACAGCTTGAAGACCAAGAACAACACATGACCAAATGAGAAAGCAATGAAGATTCAACCTGAAATTCTCTCACTTGGAGAATCAGTTTTTCCTCCAATTAGAAGTACCTTTTCCCCCCAAGAAACCTACACAAAAACAACTCTTTCAGCCCACAAGCAACTCACTTCACAAGCAAACTTGAACCTCTCACTCTCTCACACAGTTACCAAACAGTGGCCTTTGCATGCAGGAATCTTCAATGGCAGGCTGCTTGGTGAATGGTAAAGCTTGGATGGAATGGTGGTCCATGTAAACTGGTCAAATTTTAGCACCTGATGATAACCAAAAGAAAACGAGATAAACAAAAAGAATGATAACCAAAAGTAAAAAGGAACCTAGAGAAAACCCTTTTCACAACAGAGGGGGAAAAGGTAGCTAAGCTAGCTACCTGGACATCATCCAACAAACCACTTCCGGATTCACCACCAACCACTACCATCTTGTTGCCAATTACAGTTGCTGCATGCTAATTCCACCAAAAGGGTAAAGCTTCATTTTCTCTTCAACTTTTTTGTCCAGAAAAGTACAGCAACTTAAAGGCAAATAGCAACATCTCACATTGAACCTAGGAGCTGGTTTGTCTCCAGCAATAGACAGAACCATCCAATTGTTGGAGTTCCCTGAAGTTGAGCTGCCAATATCAGCAGCTGGGTGAGCCGACTTTTGGCATTCACAGTCAAGCTGATCATCACAATGCTATAAACAAGAGAAACAGAAAATCATACAAGAGGAAACCCACCAAAAAGCGAAAGGCAAGGGGGGAATGAGGGTAACGGAGACTTACAACAGAGGAATTGTGAGCTCTTTTTGGGGGTCTAATGGGGTTTCTAGCTCCTGGTGTAGAGATAGAATCTGATAAATGTACCTTCTTCACCCTGAAAAGCAGCAAAAACATAATGAAGTGAGAAACTATGAACTCAAAATGGCAGAAAAAGGGCGGAAGAGGGTAAAAAAGCAGAACTGGCAAGACTGACTGACCGACCTGCCAAGCTTCATACTTTTCTTGGAGAAGCCAAACATCTTCGATTAGACAAATCTCTGCAACAAAATCGAACCCTAAAGAGAAATCTCAAGGACCAATGAATCCAGCAGCCTAGCTCATTGCACTTTGGTTTCAGTTCCGGGCAATGTTGCGGTTTTGTACCTTGTAGCTGTAGGTGTCATGAACCAGTTGCTCCCAATAACTCGAGTTGTTGGCAGAAGGTTATGCTGGATCTTATACCACTCTCTAACACGCCCCCTCAAACGAAAGCCAACCCACGGGCTTGAAGTTTGCACAGGCCCACCATACCATGTGCTTGAAAGACAACGGTTAATATTGGGGGTCGTGGAGATTCGAACACATGACCTTTCGGTTCTAGGCTCTGATACCATGTCATGAACCAGTTGCTCCCAATAACTCGAGTTGTTGGGAGAAGGTTATGCTGGATCTTATACCACTCTCTAACAGTAGGCATTCGATTTTGTTTCCAAACGTGTCAAAGCCTAACAAGGTAAGTTTCCAAAGATCGAATTGAAGTATTTATAAATTTATAGAAATTAATTAAAGGTAAAGTTTCGAGTAACTACTTATTTAGGAAGATTTGGGTGATCGACTTTGAAGAGTAGATCTCGGCAATAAATTAATAAATCAATTTTGTATACTCATTAATAACTCCATTGATAGTTCATGGGAGATAAATAATGTTTTCCCTAATAAATTTGAACTTGTTATATCTCGTTAGTTTTAAGTTGTAATTTGATTATTTTATACTGAAAAATTAGATTAATTGTGCTTCTCAAAATGACATTCATTTTGATATACTTGAAAAAATAATAATTGAGAAATATATACGGAAGTGTACCGTGGTAATATGCATATATCATAATGTAAAATGATTGTATACACGATAATAAGAGTATAGTAATCACCATAGATCACCTTTAATCACGGTCGACCACCAATTACCATCCTATACTAGTGTGGTAAAGAGGGGTTTCCTTTACAAAAAGATAAATGATTTATGCAGTGCATAACCCGTTGGATATGGATTCGACTAGGGCTGGGCATGCGGGCGGATCATCCGCAGATTTGGGCCGACCCACCCGCATTTGACCCGAATTTCATTAAGTGGGTGGGTCTGTGGGTGGGTGACGGGTTGCGCTGAGAGCCATCCGCCGGGTGGTGGGTGGGTTGTGGGTGAGTGTGCGGGTGACCCGCTCAACCCAACAGCAAAAATATCAAAGTCGTTGGCGCTAGAGAGAGGAGAGTGGAGACGTTAGATATAAACTCGGACTGCTCCTGGAGTTTGAACCTCAAAGTCAACCTTCCAAATAGAGATCCCCTCTTCTTCCCTTTACTTTTTCCTCTAATTCTTGTGCCTAGATCACCGCTCTTTCCTTTGTGGAATTATTTTCCTTAATTCCTTGGACCTAATAATCGTCTCAATCTGTAGAAAACTCATTCATAATAGAATTTCTATCCAATTTAAGAACTAATTCGACATTTTTCGCGCTATTTCAACTTCTTGTTTCCCTCGATGATTCTCTTCACCTATTATCATGTCAAGTTGAATCATTTATATTATATACATTGTGATGTGGGTGAACCCACAAACCCACCCGCATCATCCACCATCCGCCCGACCCAACCCGAGACTAAATGTGGGTGGGTGGTGGGTTAAAAATTATCAATCCGTTTAAGCGCGGGTGGGTGCATTTTATGGTCAAAATCCACCCGACCCACCCAATGCCCACCCCTAGATTCGACCACCTTTAATCACATATTTGATCAATTCTATTACTTGTCAAGGAGATATTTGAGCACAAACATGTAGGGTCCATGAATTTTCAAATTTCACATTCTGAGGTCGTTTGTTTGTTGGATTTTGAAACGAGGGTTTTAGTTTGAACCTGAGTTTGAGAAAACCTTAGATTTTGTGATGAATTTGGGAAAGTTTATTGATTGTTTGTCGGATTCGTTCATTGACTTTGTTGTTGTGGATTTATAGCTTTTAAATATAAGTTACCTTATTACCCTTAGGGGTCGTTTGGATGAGTTGTTGTGTAACGAGTTAATATAAAAGTGGAATTCCCACTACGGGAAAAGTGACTTTTGGCAACACTTGTCTCGCAACACTTTTTAGACGTGTTGCATAAAATAAAAATATGCAACACTTTTATCATGTGTTGCTTAATATGTATCTTATGCAACACAAATTGGCAACACTTATTATTTTGTTGCATATCTCTTATAATATGCAATACTTGTGAAATAAAATAAAATAAAATGTGTTGCCTATTCTTACATTTTATGCAACACTTAATTAGAAAAGTTTACAAATTATCATGGTTAAAAAGGCATACATTGTCTTATGCTCGGGTACGCTTAGACGCTAGACAACACAAAAACACATCACCTAAGAGTTCCACATACTATGAGCTAGGTATAAACAGTGCAATGAGAACTTTATCGCAAAATATGATATCGTGACACAACTATGTCACAAAAAACTTAATTTTATGAGCAAATTCCCATCACAAAGTTATAATTTGATTACTTAATTATTCCTTCCAAGTAGATATAAAAGCTCTTTGGTTTGATTAAGTTACACTTATTTTCTTAATGTATAAAATATTTTTGGTGTTTAATGCATAAAATATTAAGAGTATTATAAATATTTTTTTTAAACTATTATACGTCAATAAAAGGTTGTTTATGTAAAAGATAAGTAAACAAATGGATTTAGTTACGTTGTGAAAAAATGGTATTAATTAGCTGTACACGGAAAATCATATCCGCAGGAAGGATAATCACATAATTCCCTCTTAGACTAATATATTTACAGAAGGAAACTAATTAATAGTTAATCCCGGATTTTTCTCTCAAATATCATTAGGGATGGCATATCAGACCACGCGTGCAGGTACCCGCCCGAAAACCGGCTGGGCGGAGCAGTTCTTACCCGGAGTTGACGGTGATTTAACGGATTCGGGGAAACCCGTTATCCGTGGATAACGAACATCGGGCGGTGACGGAGTTCAGGCTATCCGCCCCGAGCCCGCCCCGAGCCATAAAAACGACGTCGTATTATGAGCATATATATATATCCATCAGTCGAGCAGCTGGAGAAACCCTAATCCCTAATTGGAAAATCGCCGCTCTCTCAGTCTCTCACTCTCTCTTCTCTTCTCAGTTCTCTGCTCTCAATCGCCGCTCAAATCCATCGATTCGATTCCCCCCGCGAAATTCTCTCCACCCAGGCTGTCAATCATTCATTATCCACCAATCAAAGCCTAATATCCTCATCGATTTAGGCAAAGAACAACATGCAAAAGGAGAAGAATCAGAAGATGACTGTTCCAATCTCCGATTCGAGGTTATTGGGAGGATTTGTCATCGATTATTGTTCCGATAATCCAGAACTCGAGATAAGTACCTTCCAATTCAATTCTTCTTTCTTGTTTCAGTTTCTTGCTTTAGTTTTAGGTTCGTTTAAATTAACTCGAGTCGATTGGTTCTTTCTAGGGCTCTTCAGTTTCATCTTCATCTGCACCTGGGACTGCATGCATGCTCTGATACTCGAGGTAATCCCTAATCAAATTTCCTTAGTCAGTTACTCAGTTAGTGTTTAGTAATTAGTAGTTTGTTGTATTGACTTTGACTCATTGGATTGTAATGTTTGTACTTTTGTTTGAGTTTTTGCAGTTTTGTATCAGACATCAGTTCACCATCCACAACTCTGGACAATAGACCCCCTCTGTCCAGATTCGAGGTTAGTTAAAGAATTAAGGACATTTTACTTAATTTGGTTTGCATGTATTAGGAATTAGGGACTCGAGTTTCTGTTGATTGCCTGGGTGTTGGGTCTGCTCATGAATCATGTCTTGTTTAGTATAAGTGTCTCATCTGCATGTTACAATTGAATCTAAAAGACTATACATTTGAACCTAGAAATCTTATAGCTAAAGCCTAAAAAGTAACCAAGAAATCCTTTGATGTATATACTCGTTTATCTCAATGTCAGATGGAAGGTGCACCTGAAAATGTTGTCAATGCTCCTGTTCCTCCACAACCTGCCCCTGTTGATCAAAACAACCAACCTGAACAAGTTGGTAATGGTAACGGTAACTTGGCTAATGAAAATTCTAAAGTGCTTGTTGAAGAATGCAAATTGACTTCTGATGTATGGCCTCATTACATTAGGGTTTAGGTTAATGGGGTTATTAAAGCTAAGTGCAAGTACTGTCGAAAAAACCTTGGTGGTGATACTCGTAATGGAACCTCGCACCTTAGGACTCATGTGAAAACCTGTATCCAAAAAAGGATACATGATGGTGCTCAAAAAATTCTTTGCCCTAATTACAAAGCAACTGGAAAACCCCAATTATCTGCTACACAGTTCAACTCTGATGTGTCTAGGAAGGAGCTGAGCTCAATGATTTTGGTCCATGAGTACCCTCTTAGCATTGTTGAACACTTGGGTTTCAAGCGTTTTTGTTGTTCTTTGCAACCACAGTTTACTGTGCCTTGTAGAAATACTGTGAAGAAAGATATATTGTCTTTGTATGGGGTTGAAAGGAGTAACTACCAAAAGGTTATTGATGGTAATTTGGGTAGAATTGCTGTGACCACTGATTTATGGACTGCCCCAAACCAGAAGAGGGGTTATATGGCAGTCACAGCTCACTTTATTGATAATACTTGGAAGCTAAGAAACTCAATGCTAAAGTTTTTGTATGTCCCTGCCCCTCATACGAGTAAGAGGCTTGCAAGAAAACTGTTTCAATGTCTTCTGAATTGGAACATTGATGGAAAGTTGTCTGCAATCACCTTGGACAACTGCTCCACTAATGATTCCATGATTGCTCACCTTAAGAATAAACTTGTTTTGAATAACTTGTTGATGGATGGTAGACTGATTCATATGAGGTGTTCTGCTCATATACTGAACCTTATTGTGAAAGATGGTTTGGATGTGATAAAGGATGGAATCCATTTGATTAGGGAGAGTGTGGTGTATTGGACATCCACACCTAAGAGGGTCCAGACTTTCAATGAAGTTGTTAAACAGCTTAAGTTGGCTGTTGGGAAAAAACTTGTGCTTGATTGTCCAACAAGGTGGAATTCTACCTGTGATATGCTCTCTATTGCTCTTCTGTACAGAGATGTCTTTTTTCGTTTAAGACAGATGGATAGTCAATACACATCAGCTCCTACTAATGAGCACTGGGATTTTGCTGCTATTGTGATTGATAAACCGCTCATTTTCAGTGAGATGACTGCATTATTTTCTGGTACCAAGTACCCCACTGCCAATCTGTTTTTCTCTAAGGTCTGTGATCTGCGATTGAAATTGAGTGACTGGTGTGCTGATCTTAATCCTGTTATTTCTGCCATGGCTGGAAATATGTGGTTGAAATTCACAAAGTATTGGGATGATATACATCTTGTTCTGGCAGTTTCAGTGGTTCTGGATCCTAGGTACAAAATGCATGTCA